TGCCAGTTGCTCATAGCATATAGTAGCTTACAGAGTAGACCATGCTCTGATAAAGATCAGTGACAAAGATCGTTGTGCATTTTGCATAGTGAAATGACCCCTTGTTCTACCTAGTGAAAAGTTTGCCTACACCCTCCCATACCTTTTTTGTCATTATAACATCCTTAAGATTGTATTTTGCTTTAAATATCTCTTTTCTGTCTCTGAGAAAATAGAATAGACAAATCAAATTAATGAAACGTGGAAGAGACGGGGCATTCAGATATGAAATTACACTGCCATTGAATTTAACTAAAATTGCTTGCTTCCCATCTTTGCCAGTAAGCACTCTGCAAACAAAATCAACTGATACTAAGGATGCCTTACATAGTATGTATCTAAGATTACGTCATTTACAACTACTTAACATTTGCATCTGCAGTTAAAGGAATTGATTCACAGAATGTGAGTCATTCTTGAAGTACCTCCAATATGGAATATTCCAGTTAAGGTACATGTGCTTATACCAGCTTAGATGTTTGTTACAGTATATTTAGGAATGAAAGGAGATGCGAGGAACAAATGCAATCAAAATGTGTTTTTCCATTTCGAGTAGCATAGCTTAATCATCTTTTCTGTTTACAGTTTACATAAGCACCGTTAACTGCTTATCTAAAGTTCAAGTTTATTAAGATAACAGTTTATATCTTCAAAGCATCAGCGAAGCATACAGCTCCCCTGGAAAATAAAGAAGTGTGATTATCCCAATTTTCCAAATGAGGGCTCTGAGGGATAAGTGACATGTCAGAGGTCACGCAGTGAGTCAGTGACAAAGCATAGATTAAACTCAGTGGTTTTCATCCAAAGTTCTGTTTCTTTAACTTTTGCTTTCTCCAGAATGCAGTCTTGATATAGGCAAATGCAAGCTGTTTAGGAATGTCACGAAAAAGGGGCTTTTTGTACTTCTGTCTCCTTTGGAGTCTTCAAAGAGCATGCTCCCAGGTGTTAGGCTTCATGTCCTTATCTCTCATGAGTGGAATTTTGCAGTTCTGCCACTCGGAGGGAGATGTCTGGGTACATGTTGTCTGTGCAGCCATCTACTGCCAGATGGTTCCAATTGGACACCTTTCTGCGTGTGCTTGTCTTTGTCTCTCCTTGAGGAATTTATCACCCGTGCTATCCAGTGATGAGCTAAATGCATGCAACAAATGTAAGTTTGTTTAGCATATAGAACAAACATTAGAAAAACATAAAAATAAACATCTACCTTTTTGAATTTAAACTAATGTGACACTTTACTAGATGGAAAGTTAGATGGATTTTCCTGTTGAGTTACAGAAGAACTACCATACTTACATTCTTTTAGCAAGCCAAAAGCCTTTGTGACCCAGCATGATCTCAGTTTCCAATTCCCTAGTCTGTCTTCCCTTTCAGCGAAACTCCCTTTTCTCCAAGTACCATTCTCCCTGTATAAACCTGAGCCTCTTACCCTTTTTGCTTAAAGACCACTGTTACAAGCCTAAAATGTGCATCCTTCTTTTTCTCCAGCTGGTTTTCTTCAGTAGACCAGCTGGTGTATCTAAAATGGTACCCCAGTGTTGGTTGCTGTATTGTTTGATTGTTAGGCTTAGCCTTAATGGCCAGCAGTCACAAGCCTTATGTCAAGCTAGAAGGCATATGCCAAATCTGTGTTCTCCCCCATACATTTCATCTCGTCACCACAAAAATCCTGTTTTTAGGGCTCACCTTATAGAGCACAGATCCATAGTCATCCACATCTGCTTCCATCCTAAAGAGAATCCAATAAAATAGTATTACAGGATCTACATATAAATTTAGGAAACAGCCTTAAGCATATACAAGTTTACTAATTAATCTGAACAGTTTTTTCCTGTCACTTTGATTAAAAACAAGTGATCTGAGTTATCCTTTTAATTATGATATATTGCAGTTAATACAATGCAAAGTAGCAACCTCAGTCAAAAACTCTGAAATATTTCAAGAGCTTGTCATCATTTAATTGTCATAGATCTTCCTTTGGGCTTTTTCTTTGATCTCATTTGGAATTCTGGCCTTCCCTGATAAAATAATAACTGGATCTCCATCTTTAAAAGGCTTCTCATCAAATGAAATGAATGGCGCACATTTTTTTTTTTTTGTTCATGATGCATAAAACAGTTGTTGATGGCTCTGTTCAATTTGAGCAGCAAGAATGAGTAAATTAGACAGGGTACATGTATTATCAGTGAGAGTGGTGGCATTATCCTTTCATGTATCAAGACCCAGTTTTAAATCTTGGTTGTGAACACAAGTGAAAATGAGCTTGTTAGTTTCTTCCTAAGCCCTAGAGTATTTGTGTACTTCACCAAACTAAATGCACAGTTTGACAGAACTTAGCATGATAAGGAGCATCCGTCTGCAAGCCTGGATCTCAGTTGTAAATCAGGGTTAAGATACTCTGGCAGAGGTACAGCAAAAGCCTGAATGGCTCTCTCCTGCACATTATTCCTGTTTCAAACTATTGCCATCAATCTGTCATTTTTCTGAGCACCAAGTTCATACAAAGTGTGTTCTCATAAATTTACCTGTTCCTGAATCCATGGATTGATTCAGATTATGTATTTTCTTCTTCCTGCAGAAGCTTGCTGTTGTAAAGGCTTTGCTAGCTTGTTCTTTTGTCACAAGCACTCTGTTAAAGGAGGTGTTATTGTCTGTCCTGTTTTAAGAGCAAGGGTTCAGATCAGATGATAGCTATAGAAAGAAACAGTATCCCTACAGCCCTTGTTAACTCTTAGTCCTTCGAGTGTTTTGAAAGAACGTTTTGGAGCATGTCTATTGGCATTGCTGAGAACATTGGTATTTGTACCAGTAGGAGAATAAATGGAGAAAGACCTGGGTTCACTAGCTGATCACAGGATAAGCGAGTCACCATTGTATTTTAGCCACACAGAAGGTAAATGCCTCTCCTAATGCAGATCAAGAAATTGTATTTTTCATAGTTCGGATACAATCAGGTATTGTATGCCTGAGCTATTGTATGAAGCCCTGGGGAGGCCTCATGTAGAATATAATATACAATTCTGTTAGCCTGTGTTTAAAGAAATGAATTTGAACTGTAACAGGTGCTGTAACAGGGTGACTTGGATGGTCAGTGATTGGAGAACCTATCATATGTGGGGAACATAAAAGAATTTGCCTGGTTTTGCCAAGGCCTAACAAAAGTAAGGCTGAGAAGGGATATGATTTCAGTGTATAAATACATCTAGAGCAGTGGTCAGCAACTGAAGGTCTAATCCAGCCTGTGTTTTCGGAACAGTTGACTGATCCCCTGCTTGTGGCTAAGATGGCCCATGTTTTACTAACAGCTGGCTGATCTGATTGCTGTTCCAGCCAGCCATGTGGAGGGACTGCTCTCTCTCCTCCTCCCCTCCCCCTGCCCCAGGCCTTGCCGCTGCAACCTTTGACCACCATTGCCACTGAATTAGCTGCTCCAAATCTTTCCTCACTATGCTTCTGGGTGGTGACAGTGAGCAGAGGATGCAGGACCAAGCCACAGGAGCAGCTGCCCACATGGAGCACATGTGGCTGGAGAAGATTGGCTACCCGTGGAGACAGCTGAGTTACAAGGGGTGGCCTGCCCTTAGTACATGCTTGCTGACACCTGATCTATGGAAAATCATAGGAAGGGTGAACTATTTCAGATGGAGGGCATTCCCATTAGTAAGTTAAGGAAATAGATGAAAATACTGCAAAGTGACTAGGTCGTGCTCAAAGAGTTGTCATAAGTGGCTCAAAGTCTACTTGGGAAGAGGTATTGAGTGGGACTTCCCAGGGATCTCTCCTCAGAACTATTTAGTATTATTATTAATTATTTGAATATGGGTTAAATGCATACTTAGCAAAGTTGCAGATGATGCCAAATTGGGTGGAGTTGCAGTTATGTTGAAGATTAGGGTTAGGGTTCAGGATAATGTTGGTAAACTGGAGAAATGGTCCAAACTTATGTGAATGAAATTCAGTAAGGACAAATGTGAAGTCCTGCTTTTGAGATAGATCAGGTGCGTGTCCATACAGAGACTGGGGAATGCCTGGATAGTCTGCAGTACTGCAGAAAAGCAGCTGGGGGTTATAGTGGACTGTAAACTGAATATGATCCATGAGTATGTTCTTTCTGCAAAAAAAAACAGCATAGTGAGCTGTAGTAATAGTAATGTCACTTGCAAATCATAGAAAGTGATTCTTCTGCTCTGTTTGGTACATTGAAGCTTCACGTGGAGTACTGTGTCAGGGTTTGGGTCCCACACTTCATGGGCAGGTGGGAAAGGGTCCAGCAGAGAGCAGCAGCAATGATCAGAGTCCTGGAAGACATGATTTATGAGAACAGGCTAAATGAACTGGCATTACTTAGTCTGTGGGAGAGAAGTCCAATAATAGTCTCCAAATACCTGATGGGTGGTTATGCAAACAGTGGTGATTAGACTCCTTGTTTTGTTTGTTTGTTTTCTATAACCACGGGGAACAGAACATGGATTCATGGTCTTAAATTTCAGCAAGAAAAATTTAGGTTGGATATTAGGAAGAACTTCCTCATTATAAGAGTGGCTAAACATTAGAGCAAGCTGTCCAGAGAGGTTGTGGAATCTCCAACTGTTTTCAAGAGCAGTTAGATAAATGCTTAGCTGGGATGGCTTTTAGAGATGATCCTGTCCTTAAGCAAGGGGGTTGGACTAGATGACCCCCTTCCAGCTGTACTAGTCTATGATTCTGTGACAGTGTTATCACGAGAATGGGTAAAAAACAGTCGTACCTAAATGCTTCTAAGATGAATCTCATTAATTTAGGAATTGCATAATGGTTCTTTCATTAAAGAGGTGACTGGACTTTGTAGCCCAGTCTCTTCCTATCCTATATTCCTAATAGATTTGTCTGTTACTTTATAGTCTAACTTTTTCATTGATATTCCAGCTGCATAATCTACATTTGATCACAAACAACTCATGATAAACTTGTTCTTTTCACAGAAACTGAAACAGAAGAATCAGCAGCTGAAACAAATTATGGATCAATTACGGAATCTCATTTGGGATATAAATGCCATGTTGGCAATGAGGAACTGAACTGTGATGCACACTAAGTATTTTTTTTCTAATTATGAAAATTGCATTTCTTTCTTTGTTTGAAAATATTTAATCTCTTTTTTTCTAAGAAGTCATTCATTTTCCCCCTTTCCCCCTTTATCCTAGTGTTGTTAGAAGAAAATCTTTAATGTTCATGTGTGGCTTCTTCTGTGATATTTATGTTGTGTGTGTGTGTATTTGTTTAAAAGAATCATCTTAAAATGTGTATGCAAAATAAATATCTTAATAACAAGTTGTAATATTTTACTTGCTCCTCTGAGTCAATTACGTTTTTAGAGATTGAAGGCTTTATGTTGCATTTTGCAGTAAATGTCTCTGTTTAAAACAAATGAAACCTATTATTATTTTTGATGCATTTTATCAATCCATGGTGAAAATCATTTATGCAAGGGGGGAGTGATAGTAAGGAGATTTAAGTGGAGGCCTGAAATAGGTAGTAATTGAATCTCTCAGAGATTAAAATAAATCCATTATAGGAATGCAAGAATTCCTGTGCCAGATCAAATGATTTGTTCATCAAGTGCTGTATCCTTGCTTTGACAGAGGATATTACTAGGCGGTTTAGAATAAAGTGCAAAAAGCAGCAGTTTTGGAATATAGGACCATAGGTTCCTTCCTAACTATTATCATTAAGTGAGGGTTTTTAAACCCTCAGCCCTATTTGCCTCCTGATTAGTATCCTCTCTGGTGTAATTATGTGTATTTTTGCTGCTGATGTAGACAAAGATAAGTTGTATCGAAGTCAAAGGATACTTTTACAAGCTGTTTCAATGCAACTGTTATGTCTGTATGACTTTGTAGCCAATACAAGTGTAGTAAAGGCAAACCAACTTAAATTCTTTATTCAGAGTTAAAATTAGGTGATGTAGCTGACTTGTAGTGCTAGAGGATCTTTCAGCCTTAAGTTGGGTCATAGCAACTGATACCTGTTTTGAACAGCAGCTCCCCCTCCTTTGTTAAGCAGCTAAAATCTATGTTTATCTGTACCTCATGCATATTTTTTTTTTCTGGAATTTTGCTGCCGTCTTGTCCTTGGTGTTTTGCACCATTGAGTTTTACATGATAATTATGTGCTGAGACTAAAAGAAAATATTATTTTGTAATTTGTTTAAAGTATGGTGACTTTCAGTTTAATTGAATGTCACACGTGATCAAGTATTATGAGAAGGGGCAACTTTGATTGTCCAGTTTAACTTCTCTGTTGCATTCATTATTATTCCTTTACCTTGTCTCCAAAAAGTATAGGACTGGTCCAGTTTAGTCTTTCCCATGTGGAGGTTTTGGGTCGCGTCTCTTTTTTTTATCCATTTCTCTGAAACCTTTTTTTTTCTGAGATAAAAATTGAATGCAGTGTTTCAGCTAACTATGTACTGTTGTTTAATGCTATAATAATTCAGATTTTTTTAAATTTGTGGGTATCTTGTTTATTCCTTTTTACCTATTGTGCATAGAGCAAACTTTTCATTATATTCTTCATGTTTTTATCATGCAGTGTATTTAGAAACAGTGTGTGTCAATAGTCCATTACCTGACATTAGTCATCAATTTAATCTCCATTTGAGCTGCCGTTTTTGTAACTTCAAATCTCCCTGGAATTCTTCTTAGTTTCCTCTAGCATGGAGACTCTTCAGAATAGTTTTCTTTTATTCACAGGTTTTGCAACCTACCTGTACGCCTCTTTTTCTAGATCAGTGTGTGTGTTAAATAGTATTGCTCCCATACAGCTCTTTAGGGCATTTTTCAGTTAATATTGACATTTTTGAAAAATTTGAAAATTGGCTATATATTCCTACTCCATCACTGTCACTTCCTAATCCAGTATTTTATAATGCATACTTAGTTTCCTTAATGGTCTCTGTGACTGAGCTCGGAAACCTTTTGACCGTTCAGATTAGTTTTATTTATCCACTGCTCTGTTGTTATACTCCATAGTGTTCTTAATGGATTAGAAATGCGAAATTTTTCTTTAGTGGAAATTCTAGTGTTTTATTTTAATACAGAATTTGTTAACTCCTTAATTACTGTTTCACCAAATTTATGTGGGCCCATAGGAAAGACTCACCATTATATAATACTTCTGGTCATCCCTAATAGAGTGTGCTCTGTTTAGGTGTGTAGTTTTAGAACTAAGACAATGGCTACCTGAAATGTGCCCTTGCTTGAACTTAAGGTACGCATTGCTTATTAAGTGCATAAAACTGTCACTTCTGTGGTATTAGCAATCCTGAAAATCATAGGTGCCAGATGGTTCCATAGCTGCTGTTAGAAGCCTTACGAATTAGGGGAGCTAATCCAAATAGCAGCCCTGAAATTACATAGCTCCCTTCAGTTTCAGGGCTCGTAATAATAGGCCTTTGACAGTTACTTTCCCTTCACTATTTTTGGCACCAGTTATTATGTCTTTAAACAGAATGGTTACACAGTAGATAGTGGGGTTGAAAGGTATTATGCATTTAGGCATTTTATGTACTTATATCAAACATCAGTTATTTGCATGTTGATTAATATAAGCCATAGACAAAAACATGGGACTGGCATGGTATTATGCTGTTAAGTATAACGTGCATATTGGATTGTATATAAAACTTGAATACACTGTTTTTTGGTTTGTTTGGGGGGGTTTTAGGTTAGGTACAACATGACTGATTCCATTCATCCTCTGGTATTTGAACTATAGAGATTAGCAGATGTTTGAATTAGTTTTGTTTCTTGACTCGCAAATTTATACTCGTAGATTTTTAATTCAGATGGAGTCATGCTGGATATATAATAGGTAATAATGATTATGTGATAATGATATACATAGCTGTCTTCATCAGTGTACCTCAAAGCACTTTTTATAAACAAGGTCATTATCATTATCTCCATTTTTATAGATTCATAGATATTAGGGTCAGAAGGGACCTCAGTAGATCATCAAGTCCGACCCCCTGCCCCAAGCAAGAAAGAGCACTGGGGTCAGATGACCCCAGCCAGGTGCCTGTCCAGTCTCCTCTTAAAGACCCCACCTCCCTTGGAAGCCCATTCCAGATTCTGGCAACCCTTACTGTGTAAAAGTTCTTCCTGATGTCCAACCTAAATCTGCTCTCTGTCAGTTTGTTGCCATTATTTCTAGTTACTTCAAGGGGTGCCCTGGTAAACAGAGCATCTCTTATCCCTTGCTGTCCTCCCTGATGAATTTGTAGATGGCCACAAGATCCCCTCTCAGCCTTCTCTTGTGGAGGCTGAAGAGATTTAGGTCCCTCAATCTCTCCTTGTAGGACCTTACCTGCAGGCCCCTAAGCATACGAGTGGTTCTCCTCTGGACCCTCTCAAGGTTATCCACATCCCTCTTGAAGTAACGCCCAAAATTGGATGCAGTACTCCAGCTGTGGCCTTACCACATAGAGGGGAGGCATCACCTCCCTGGAGCTGTTTGTGATGCTCCTGCTAATGCACAATAGATGGAAAAACCAAGGCGCAGATGGGCAGAGACTTGTATGAAGTCACACAGGGTAGTAACAAAGAAAGCCATGGCATCCACGTCTTACTGAGTCCCAGTCTAGATAAACCAATACTGTTGTTCAATTTGAGTGAATTAGGATGAGCTGCTGTTGAAATTCCAGGCTTGTACTATTTTGTCAAGATAATGGCAAACTTACCTACTGTAGGAAAGGTCAACATTAGATAAGGTATTTTTTTTCTTCAAAGTTTTAGAAAAGGAGCTGCAGGTAGTTAGCAGTGGGTAGGTTGGCTATTCATTTATTTTAAAGGTGTTGCAGTAGCTATCCTTTTCTGGTTCTTGTGTGTGCATGTATGGGGGAACTTTTATTTTTTTTGTATCTTTGCCAGAAGAAAGAAGGTGGGGGATACGATAGATTTTAAAACAGTACCATCAGTGAATATGTAATTCTTATTTTGTAACATTTTGATGCTCCCTTTTGTACCAGAGAAGATGCATAGTAGTGGAGACTAAGGTCCATTTATGCATCTGATAAATGCACATGATATCTCTGCTTTTGTTAATTTTTCCTTAAAGCTTGTTTGTTGGTTGGTTGGTTGGTTGGTTGGGTTTGAATTGTAGGTGAACAGAGTGAAAAAAAAAAACTGAAGTAGGAGTAAAAGTTTATATATTGCAGATGTCAAGTGGTAGTAATATTCAGCATACTCTATAGGTTGGCCAGTGGTGGCCAAGGATTAGGTTCCAATATTTCGTTCAAGACCAAGGAAAATAATACTTAAATTCACCACCAGAAGTGAGAGCACAATAGTGCTACAATGCAGAGTGTAGGAAGTGACAGAGTTGTAAATCATCAGAGTAAATACTGTCAAAATATACTTTGTCAGGTATTGGGCCAAAACAGTGCACCTTGACTTAGAGTGAATGACAGTAAGAGCAGTCTGCACAATTCACTGAACTGTCAAATCTGTGAAGAAATATAGAATTTTATCAAGAGCAACAGTAAAAGGCAGATTTGAGGAGAATATTTTTCCAGTAGCATCATGGCACTGACCTTTTACGAGTTACTGTGCATCTGCATATGGTGAGATTTAACATTTTATCTGCTAGTTAGTGAGGCAGCACTGAACATAAGTGTAAGCAAATTCCACCAGAAGACTACTGATATAATTATTTTGGTGTTTTCATATCAGAATTGTGCCTGTATTTTGCATTAAACAGTAATTGGACAAAATACAAGAATAGTTCTGAAAGCAGAGATTGGAACCTATGATTCCCTCCTCCCAGCATCACTAGGATATAGTTGTGCTCTTTCTAGGACCTAATGCAGTGGCTTTCAAACATCCTTCAAAGTGAACCCTGTCATTACTTAATCTTCCACATACCCTCCTAAAGACTGACCTAGAGTCAAGCAACCTAGTCCAGCAATGGCAACACACTGCCTTTTGGCCCTCTCCACTATTATCCCCAATCTCTGTGCAGAACACCTGATGTCCAGAGATCTGGACATCCCACGGGAAAACAAAGAAAGCCACGGATTTCCCATTTTTATCAGAAAATTTGATTTTCCCTTTTTAGCAGAGAAACCTGCAGATTTCCCAGTTTTGCAAAGAGCTCTAAGACAGGCAGAGTTCCAGCAAGCAAAGGGCTAATTGCAAAAAAGGGTGGAAAACCCCCAGCCCTGCCGGAGGGGGAGAGAGAGAGACGGAAAGGGCATGGCCTGAGACTCTCACTTACCCAAGGCTGGTTCAGGTTCACTTTCATTCCTGGAGCCTGTGAGGTATGTGGGGCTTGCAGGGGACTCTGG